ACAGCTACTGCTTCTCCCAGCCGAATGGGAAGATTGTTGAGTACGTTGACTATATCTAAAACTCAGCTTTGCAAGAAAGAGGTGTAGTATAAAGTTAAGGCATGTAATTTTTATTTTTTTTTTTCCTGAGGAAGATTAGTCCTGAGCTAACATCTGCTGCCAATCCTCCTCTTTTGCTGAGGAAGACTGGCTCTGAGCTAACATCTGTGCCCATCTTCCTCTACTTTATGTGTGGGATGCCTACCACAGCATGGCGTACCAAGCGGTACCGTGTCTGCACCTGGGATCCGAACCGAGGGCCACCAAAGTGGAATGTGTGAACTTAACCACTGTGCCACTGGGCCGGCCCCAGGCATATCATTTTTAATAGTAGAGTTTGTGACTTTCCTTCCTGCATGAGCTCATGTTCCTATTTGCTTCACTTTTTTCCAGGATGTTACAAGAAAGAACCAAGTATTAAGCTTTGCTTTCAAAGTGGAAAGGACACACCCACTAGCCAAGATTTTGGTCAGCCATGTCGGAGCATAGGGCTCCCTGTACCACACGGCAGGCAATGTAGCAGTCCTCAAAGTGTGGCCCAGGGACGTGCCCGGGGTCCTGGGGACTCTTTCAGGGTCTACTCTGGTAATAATCCCAAGACACTGTCTGTGCTTTTCACTCTGGCGCAACCGTGAGGGCACTGTGGAGTTAACAAGGCTGCAGACGTGTGATCGCACACGGACCGAGCACAGAGCCCACCTCTCATCTCATTTGTTTGCTTGTTCTAGAAAATATTATTTTATATTAAAAATATGTTAGCATAATGGGTTTTATCGTTAATTTGATGGGTTTATTGTTATTTTTAAATGTGTTAAACAACATATTTGAAAGTCTCAGTTTAAATTTCTATTAAGGTTACCATCAAAAGATAGAGGCCATGAAAACAGAAGCTGTTTGGGTCCTAGGAGTGTAAAGGGGTCTTGAGACGCAGTAGCATGGAGGCGAGAGTGTGCTTTTGCGTGTCCTGGCCTGGACAGCTGCCGCCCTAGCCACGTGCTAGTGGTGGGGCTAATTGGGCAAACTTTGGTTTCTCCATCTGTAACATGCAGGTATCGCTGGTACTTCTCTCATAAGGCTCTCGTGAGAGTTCAGTGAAGGAATCCAGATAAACCGGATTATTATCTTAATGATGAGAAAAAAGACTCGAAAGAAAATAGCATCTGAACAGTTTCCTAAGTGTTGTCCTACTCCCAAAGCCTTTCATAGTAACAGACCAGTGTTAGGAGCAATTTAGGTAATTTGTAGTTATTGACCAAGTTCCCTATTTCTCAGTAATAGGATTTATAAAACCGGAATTGGCTTTCTGTGTTGTTGTTTGTTTTGGTGAGGAAGATTGTCACTGAGCTAACATCTGCACCAGTCTTCCTCTGTTTGGTATGTGGGATGCCACCAAAGCATGGCTTGATGAGCAGTGTGGGTCCCTGCTGGGGATCTGAACCCGCGAACCCTGGGCCACTGAAGTGGAGCACACAAACCTAAGCACCACGCTGCCAGGCTGGCCCCAGCTTTCCGTGTTTTAAAATTCAAATTTAGTTTTAGTTCTAGATGTTTAAACTACCACTGCTATATCAAGTAAAATTATTTGAATCAAAATACAGAGATGAAGTCTAGCACATAGGAAGAGGGTGGGCTTAGAAGAACAATGTATTGATTTGTTTTCCTTTTTGAATTTTTCTGAACATACATTGAAGTATTATATGCCATAGTAAAACCAAGAAGTTAAGTTAATGAGAAGCATAAAACATTTCTTAAGATCATGGCTAGTTTACTGGTATTACGTATGCTTACTGGCTCTAATTTAATTAACTGGTGCGTCCATGGTAATGAACAGTTGAGCACCACCCTGTCTGTGTGTAGCACGTGTTCATTCTGGATGGTTTCTGTGGATCCAGGCAGAGGTGTGGTCAGGTCTGTGGCCCTTTGCCGAGCAGGGTCATCATACCGCAGCCTCCATGGGTCTCAGTTCAGTTCACACCCGAGGAGCACTTACCCTTTATCATTTTAGTTGGGCCTTCTTGGTATTTTATTTTAGTGATTGAAATATTTTCTGCATACATTATGTTCATTCTGGAAATATTTTAAAGGGTGGTTGTAGTGAAACATCTTTATTTGTACACTTACTCTGATACAATAGTAGGAGAAAAAATTACCATGAATCCCTAAATGGTGGGCAATTATTGTGTTATTGTTTATTTAAAATTTGAAAAGCAAATAAATGTAATTCAAAGATTAAATGTCATAAGGAAAAAATATGTACAGTTCTTACTTATGTATTTGATTTTGCTTAATTGACCTTTCAAGTCAGCCAGCTTATTTGAAATAGTAAATTCCGTAACCTCAAGATGAAATGTAATCATGTATTTTAGAGATCAACTCTTGTCCGCTGGTGATGCAGAAAGACACTCGTGAAACTGCTAAGCCAATCGCAGTCTGCCAGCACTCGACTTTTACTATTTAGTATGTAAACGGTCATCCCCATTGCTGTGTTACTTGGCATGTTACGCAAAACCCCATGTGAATTTTGATTTAAATTTGACTATATTTCTTGACTCTAATCACTCTTCTGTCACATTTCCTGTTCTGAACGTAAATGTGGCTGTCTTCTCCTTACTGGTAACTGTCACTGGCTCCTCAAGTCTACCAAGTAGAATGTGTGACAAAGATTCTTAACAGCCAGTGTATTAGTGACAGGGCCAGCAGCATATGCCGCTTTCCTGCGTTCCCCCCGGGCCCACGCCAGTCTTTCTAGCCTGTGATTTTCAAGGGCTGAAGGTTTCAGGTAGAAGAGGCAGCTGGCGGGGAGCAGTGGTGCTGTCCTGTGGATGTTTTAGCGGAGTCTGAAGACCGGAGTCCCGTTGGACGTGCTGACTCCTCCGCCACTCCTGGGACAGCAGCCCACCACGAGGTACGGAAACTCCATCCCCCACACGGGCACCTGCCTTCCGGAGAGAGAGGGCAGAGGATGCCCTTCCGGCCTGGGTGGGAGAGAACCCATCGCTGACACCATTACAGCTTTTGAACGGCTGGGGTCCATACTCACATCTCTGGGTCTCCAGCTGTCGATTTTTCTCAGTAGTCTGTCTACCTCTGGGGCTGCACCCACGGGAAATGGTTTGGCACCTTCCCCTCCTAGTCCTCTCCCGCCTCCATCCTCTCCTGTCTTAGTGTCTTCATCTCCTCTCCTGTCTTCCACTCTCCTGGTATAAAACCATCAAACTGCAGCCACTGCTTACGAACCTAGCCCCACCCCCAGCTGGAAATACTAAAACCTGGAATAAAATGCATGTGTGCTCTCAGTACCTACGATGGCTGTTTTACGACTTGAACTGTCTCCACGTTCACATCTGAGCAGCAAGCCCTTGAGGTCTGGGCGGGGAAGGGGAGAATGTCCATGGTGGAGGAGGAGAGCTGGGAGACTTGTCTGGAAGCTGTATTTGCATATGTTATGGAGAATAGGTAAGCATGTGGGTGGCTTGGGGGTGTGGTGCAGATTATGGGGCCTAAACCTACCCCTCCACCCCCTTCACCTGCGGAGAAATGTGTGTGGCCATTATCACGTTTCCTTCTTGCCTCCTGCCCTATACCCAGTAGCCCCCTCAACTGGAAAACATGGGAATTGGAGAGGAATGTGGCCAGTGTCCTGGTGGCGGCCGCCTGGGTAGGTGGGGCTGCTGCTGCAGCAACTACAACAGGGGTGGTGTCATGCTGTGAGGGCTGGGGGGGGGGGGGGGGGGGGGGAGAGGGGAGGGGGGGGGAGGGGGGGAGAAAGGGCAGGGTGGGTGTTCCCCCCACAGGCACATCTGAGTGCTTGTGAGCTAGCCTGGGGCTGTGACCACAACTGGTTATGTTCCTGGGTTAGCACAGAAAAGCATATCCTGTGGAAAAATAATTTTTGGAGAGCTAAACACTTAATAATTATCCTTAATGCAGGGGCTGCCTATATGAAACGTTGACGTTGATGCGTTGCTTTGTAATTGCTCGAGCAACTTTTCATTTATTCCACAAACATTTGAATATTATAGGAATGTTTTCGTGTCTCTACAAGTAGAACATAAGTGATAGTGAAGCTGTCTCGTGTTGAACCACTGCTGTAATAATAAATGTATTGCTTTGCTCACAGTGATCGCTAAGAGAGCTTCGTGTTGAGTATTTCCTGTATCATCATCACCACATAACTGAAGCTGGACTGTTTTGCCTGTTCTTTGAAAACTGGGTTTTTAATTTTAAAATGACTGCCTTTCAGCAATGGCATTAACATCGTGAGAAAGCAAACAGAATGATTCACGGAAATGCCTTTTCCCGGCTTTCTCCCCTGACACCAGCGTGCGGGCTCCTTTCCCACCATCTTAGAGGCACTGGGAGGTTGTGAAGGATTTTCTCTCCAGCGTGCGAGGACTCCGCCTGAGACTTAGGACGCCCGCTCTCCCCGGGCGCCTCTCCCCGCCTCTGATGGATTAACACCAGCCCCGGGCGGTGGGAGGCCTGCGGGTGGGGCCGAGCCCCCGCCCTCCGCCTGTCCCGGCGCTGTGTCTCCTCGCATGCAACAGTCTGTCGTGACACCAGCCAGGCGCAGCCAGCACCTCGCGGGGCCGCGTCCCCGGCCCGCGCGCTCGGCTCCTCCTCCTGCCGGCGACTCTCCCGGCGGGGACCAGGCGGCGCCCGCACTCGCCGCGCCCGGGCGGCTGGCGCTGTCCCGCCGGATCAGGCCAAGGAGCCCCCGAGTTAGAGGAGAGCCGCCGGCCCCGGAAGGAAGGACAGGTGCCTTAGCTTAAAGTCCCCAAGTGTGGGCGCCGGGCCCTGAGGAAGCCAGACATGCTGCGGCTGGACGCAGGTGGGTGCGGAGCGGGGATGAGGGCGCCGACCCGGCCACTGATGGGGAGGGCAGCAGGCTCCGCGCGCCCCTGACGAGGGACCGCCCCTCTGCTTTCAGGGCGCTGATGATCCGCCGGCTCGGCAGCACCATGCCTTTCCCGCCCGTGCCGCCGCCGCCGCCCGCCCCGGCCCCGGGGGTCCCCGCGGCGCGCCCGCCGCCCCGGAGGCCCGGCATCCCCCGGAAAGCGGCGGCGCCCGCCTGCGCCCCGCCCGGGCCCTCGCCGCCCGCCGCGGCGGGGAGAAGAAGAAGAGGCCCCCCGAGCGGCCCGAGGGGCTGCTGTCCAGCTCCTGGCCCTCGGCCACCCTGAAGCGGCCGCCGGCCCGCCGCGCCCCGGGCCCGGCCCCTCCGCGCGCCCCGCCCCAGGCCGCGCCCTGCCGGCCGCGCGCCCCCGCCGCCTGCGCCCCGGCCCGGCCGGCCGGCTCCGGCCACAGCCCCGCGGGGGCCACCGCCTCGGGGGCGCGGACCGCCGGCTCGGGGACGGCCGCGGGGGCAGGGCCCGACGACGCGCTGCGCTTCTCCCTGAGCCTCACCCCCGAGGCCGTGCTGCTCATCCAGAGGCGCCACATGGAGAAGCAGCTGCTGGCGCGGCCCCGGCGGCCGCTCCCCTCGCCCTCGGCCGACGCCAGGCGGCTGCTCGCCCCCTGCCCCCGGGCCACGGCCGCGGGTCTCTCGCGGCGCCCGGCTCCGCCCGGCGGCCTGCAGGCCCTCGACCTCGGGCCGCGGCCCGCCGACCTGCGCCCGGTGCTCAAGGTGTCGCTGCTCAACGAGCGGCACAAGTACGACGACGTGGAGTACGAGGAGGAGGCCGAGGTGGTGGACGAGGGCCTGGTCCGCAAGTGCACCGAGTGGCTGCGCGGCGTGGAGTCGGCGGCCGGTCGCGCCGGTCCCCTGGACGCGCTGCCGCACCTGAGCACGCTGTGACCCGAAGGACGGACGCCTCCCGAGGCCGGCTCCCGCCTCCTGGCACCTGTGAGCCAGGTGACGCTGCACGCCCACCTCCCTGCGCCTGGGAGCCAGGTGGGCTTCCTAGTCCCCGCCGCTGCCTCCTGGCCACACTGTGGCACCTGAGCACCTGTGTGCCAGGTGGGCCTGGTGGGACGAGAGGGTCTCACTCGACGCTCACCGCCCACCCCCTGGACGTGCTGCTCCACCCGGGCGCCCTAGGGGGAGACACAGACAGCCTCGCCGACCCCCATGGCCCACCTCCTGCCCAGGCGCCTCCCCGCTCCCCAGCCGGACAGCCGACGCCCCTCCCTCTCCACACTGGTGGTCTCGACCCCACAAGTCTGCCTTCTGCACCATCCTGGTGTCCTTGCCTCGTGGGGGTGTAAGCAGCGGTGAAAACGCCTCTCCGCCCTGGTCCCCTCAGGTTCGTTGAGGCCCTCTGCTGCGGAGTCCTCGGTAGGCGGGTGTCACTCTCTGCAGGTGCTGGGCCGGGGTGCCCCGGTCTGAACAGTGGGTGACAGCCACGAGGAGGGATGGGGGACCAGGAGCGCGGGGTCTGTTGCACAACCGGACGTGGCGCTGCATTTGTGATTTTGTTTCTTCTCGAAAGAAGAGACGTTGCGGGTATTGGAAAGCCTGAAAATGGAAGGTAACCGAATGTTCGAACTCGGAAGGCGAAGGGGCTAGCCCACCAGGAGCTAGCCCACCTGGTGGATGGACGTAGTGATGGCAACGGTGCCATGCTCACGACACGACTCTCCGCGGGCTGCGTGCTCTGCGGGCCTCTCTGCCAGCCGCGGGCAAGTCTGCCCCACACACACTCTCACACACACGTACATGCTCACATGCTCACGGATGCTTACCCTTACACTCACACACTTACACTTGCTCACGCAATGCTCTCACGCACACTCTCTCCCACTCATACACACACACACACTCACACTCACGCTCACACATGCATGTGCACAAACACACACACCATGCCTACCCTCGCACAAACTCATTTGCTTACATGCTCACACACACCCTCACACACTTGCCCTCACACATTCACACGAGTGCACACACATGCTCACTCACGCTCACACACATACGCACCCTTACACACAGTCATACTCCTGCACACACACGTATACATACAGTGCCCTCACACTCACACGTACTCATGCTTACATGCATACACACCCTCACACTCGCTCTCACACGCATGCACACACTTTCTCACACAGCCTCACACACTTGCTCTCACACAGATACACACTCACACACAGTCTCACACTCACACACACACACACACCCACACAGGTCTTCTCAAGCACAGCTGCAGGCGTTGTTTTCAGTGGCTGCGTTGAGGTGCGAGCGGGAGCGAGGGGCAGCTTCTGGTGAAATTTGTTTGTATTTGAAGCGCTGCTCACAAAATACCTTTTGTGCTCCAGAAAGAAGGAGTAACCAGAGGAGAGGGGAAGAATGCAGAAAGCTGTCCCCAGACGTGGAACAAAACGTCCTGGGCTGGAGGAGCGATTCCTTTGAGGGAGAAAGCGGGGAGGGAGTTCCTGGGGGTCACGGGGTAGATGTGTGCGTTTTCCGTACTTTTAATCAGTGTGTGAAAATCGTAGTGGCTTTGTACCGTGGTATATAGTGATTTTAAAAAGAAGAAAATTTCTATTTATTATTTGAGTAAAGAGTAAAACTCCTCTGCCTTATAGGAGACATACCCTTCCCGGCTAACTCCAGGCTGATTTCTAGATCTTTCCTCCTTGGGTCAGAGTGTATTTAACTCTAAGATTGAGAAGGAAAAAAAGTGCTATAATCAGATAAGGCTGATTATAGAAGAGTAATGTATTACCTCAATTTTTGACTTATTTTGTAAAAGTCAATAACTACTTTAATGTTTATCTCGTTAGACTTTAACGTGTCAAGTCTTAATTATATTTTCCATTGAAGCCTTACATTTTTGAAAACCGATTTTCTATTTTTCTCGTGGAGGTCTTTGCTCTAATCTCTCTCCCTCCCTCTCTCCCTCTCTCTCTCTCTCTCTGTCTCTTTCTCTCTCTCTCTCTCTCTCTCTCTCTCTCGTGCTAGGCACAAATTGAGTTAGACAGGAAGCACTGAGTTCCCTGGGAGCTAGATCAGCCACCAGATGAGTTGCCAGAACAAAAACCCTCCCCACTGAATAGCTTTTCTTCTCTGACCCCTGTTTGAATGCAGAGAGCTAGATTGCTTTTATTTAAAATGAGCGTATTAATCCCAGAGAGGCAAAGTTAGCGACCGTGAGGAGGTGAAATTGAGACTCAAGCCCTGTGATGCTCTGGCTGCCCCACCTCCCCCACCCCATGGCATCTGCCGCTCCAGTCCTGGGGGAGGAGGTCCCCTCTGGACGTGCCCCAGCAGGTTGGGAGTGAACTGACTGTGAGGTCAAGGTGCGCAGCATCATAACATGGTCTCTTTTGCACTGGGTGCGAATATCAATAGTTAAGAGGCCCGGGTTTCTGCCCATCGTTCCAATAGCAACAAGGTTTTTAAAGACTTTCCTAAAGTCGTTAACTTTGCTGAGCATCTGTTCCTGTCTTCCTGTGTCTTCTGGGTCATGTTGCTGTTACAGTGTGTAGGTCCCTCTCTTCCCCTGCAAGTCTATCTCCATGTCCCTGTCACTTTCTTTCTTTCCTTTCCTTTCCTCACCCTCTCTCTGTCTCTGGGTCCCCTCCCCATCTCTCCCTCTTAGCTGGCCACAGGACGACACGAAGCACTTTTTCCTCGTTTGCATTTGTGGGATGGAGTTTTGTGTGCCTTGTTCTTTGGTCTGAAAAGCCGATGAGTGGAACACGAATGTTGCCCTGGTTGATGACCCTTAATAAAAAACGAGAAAGGTTCTGCGCATGATACGTGATGTCTATTCATGCTGTTACTGTTTGAGAAGGTTTTCTAAGTCGCTATGCTACAATTTCTTAATGTTTTGAATAAAAGAGAAATTCATTGCCTTGTACTTCTTCTTGAGGAGGATGTTAAAAACTGGTCAGGAAGAGATCACCGAGGCATTTAGAATTCGTCTGAGGTGGTCTCTCCTTAGTGCTGCCCCATCTGAGGTTCTGGAACTTCCAGGGGTTGACAAAGGTTCATTGGCCTTAATTACTGCTAGAAATTACCAGGATTTTAAGAATTCTAATGATAATCAAATATTATCATAATAAGGCTGTTTGGCACTGGTACTTAACCTTTTGTACAACCTTCTGATACAGCCCCCAAGAGAGCTGTATTCCAGTATACGCCTAAGAATATGCACCACCTATCAAGAGAAATGTGCATGTGTTTTGTGAAGCTCATGGACCCCAGATTAAGAACTCCTTCTTTTTTTTTTTTTTTTTTTTGAGGAAGATTAGCCTGAGCTAACATCTGCCACCAATCCTCCTCTTTTTGCTGAGGAAGACTGACCCTGAGCTAACATCCATGACCATCTTCCTCTACTTTATATGTGGGACGCCTGCCACAGCATGGCTTGATGAGCGGTGCCATGCCCGCACCTGGGATCCGAACCGGCGAACCCTGGGCCACCAAAGTGGAATGTGTGCACTTAACCACTGCGCCCCCGGGCCGGCCCCAACAACTCCTTCTATGTACACTCACTAGAACATTTTTCTTTTAGTGAAAGTATTTTAAGCTGGTAGCTCATATCAATCAGAAGTTAAAGGTTCAATTTGAATAATGGTGAGGACTATTGGATTACTCAAACGGGGTATGTCACTTAATAAATGTGGTTTGTGTTTCAAATCTTTGAGTCCATGGGAAGAAAAGTAATAAAATGTGTCCATGGAAGTAAGAAGGTAGGAACGATGCTCTCTCTGCATCAGTAGTGGTATTATCATTAAATTCTCCCATCACAGGAGTTGGGGGCTCCCACCCCAGAGGATTAAGCTTCCTAAATTGTAGTGAGAGATCATGGAACGTCAGTAAGTGGACGTGCATGTGAAATCCCCGAGGTTGAGCGCAGATGGCTTAATGTCCTGTAGTCAGGGAATACTCTGGCACTTTAAGATGGGTTTTATGTTGATCCGCTTTATTTCCAGAAAAAGTAGATGCCATAAGTCAGAAACTATAGTTCTGTGGTTTCCCGGAAGTCGCACATCTCTGTTGAAGGTGGTGATCTGTGGGATCTGGTATGTTACACTGACTCTGAAACCATAATTTGGTACCATCGATTTTGGGATGGAAATTTCAGCCAACAGTGGTGTGTCCTTCAAGGCAAGCCCTGAACTAACAGTCTATGTGAAATAAGCAATAAGAACACTTGTGCGTTACCAGAACTGCTCTCAAATGCCTTTGCAACCTGTGGATGCCCGGAGTGGCCCAGTGCAGACCCGCAGAGCCTTTGTCCAGATGCTGACCGGTTCAGAGGATGCTGCCTCAGGGGCCGGGGATGGTGGTGCCACGCCCAGCTTAGAGACTGAGCACCTTCCCTGGACCGTCTGGGAGTAGGTACCTCACTGAGGTTAAATGTGGCCTTTAGAGCCTTGGAGACTAGAGTTCCCATACTGACATTGTCCTTTGTCAGCCGTCTCTCATTAAACCGTCTCCTCTTCATACAATGGGGATGAGACAACATGGCGGATCCCATGAGGAGTATGATGGCGTGTGTGTAAAGCATTTGGGACAACACCTGCACGTCACCAGCTCAAGGTCACCTGTAATTATTACCACCTCAAAAAATCTTCACTAATCAAAAAACGTCATTCTCTGGCACTTATATGTGCAAAATCAACCCCTTCCTGGCTACAGTATTCTGAGGTTTTTCTCTCCAACCATTTAATGCACACCTGTGGTGGGGGCTATAATCGTATTTCCCTGAGGAATTTAAAAATAAAAATATCTATTGTGTTTTACCATCTCATTTCAAACTGATTTATTATTTATGCCCTGAACACAAAATTTAGCTCTGAGCTTTCTAGTAGCGAAGTCAAAATTAAAAATAGTGAGTTAAGTAATATCAATATCTAATAACAAGAAACACTAACACATTAAAAGACATAAACTTTTTCTTAGAGACAATTATTTTTGTGTCATGTTTATATTTATATTATATACAATATAATGGATGGTGTCCCTAATGCAGTTTCTGGAGGATGCATAAATGTTTTTATATCACTGTTGGTTCTCCATGAAAGTCAGTGGGATACTCATCAGCTGCATTCTCTGCTGTCTTGGGCCATTCTACCTTATGGAAGTGGATTGTATGGAAACCTGCAAAAAATGGTAGTGAATCTTTAAGAAGTAGTTTTAGATATATTCAAATATTTAGCAAATACTGGCCTAAAACCCCAGAAAATTGTCTGTACATCAGTTCCTAAACTTTTTGGTCTCAAGACCCCTTCATACTCTTAAAACTTATTGAGGGAAGCACAGAGCTTATGTTTACATGGATTACGTCTACCAACCCTTCCTGTATTAGGAATAAAAACCAAGACCCTCAAAGTGTCCAGGGACCCTCAAAAGTCTTTGGGTCACGCTTTGAGAACCCCTGGTTTCTACCATATATATATCAGTTCCTAATGCCCGTCATCTGTGCTGAAATGAACAGCTGAAATACTGGGGAAACATTTTCAGACGCGGATGATCCAGACCCCAACCTAGAGATCCTAGTTCGGTAGACCTGGGAAGGGGCTCAGGAGAGGCTGGTGTGCAGTGGAGTTCGGGAACCACTGCTCTAAAGCAAGAAATACAGGGTGGGACTCAGCAAATACTTGAGGCGGATCTTACAAATTGTGTGTTCTGCCATCAGAGACCCTGAACGTTACTGTATCAGAATATGAGAATCTCCCTTTCTGGGTGTCATGCTCTCTTCCCCAGCCACGTGTTATTCACGGCATGTGGAGGATAACTCAGTGACCAGAATGATGAAAGTTATCACACATCAGTTTTATTTGCCCGTTGGCTCAGCATGGCCATGGGACAATGGCGCTGGGTCATACTGGACATCCCCCTTTTGGAAGCTTCATCTCAGACCCTCCTCTCCCAGAGTTCCACGCTGACTGAGGTTCCAAGCCTTCGCTAGGCTACCTCTGTAATCATCATTATCATTGCCTCCAGATGAACGCTTACAATCATATCACTTTGATAGCTCTATCCCATAACATTACCAGAGGGGTGGGCCTGCTCTGAGGACCACAGACACGCAGCCCTGCGTATTGAAAAGCCACCTCCAAATAGTGTACAAATTTTTTTCTGATTTTATGAGCAAACTCTAATAAGTATTAATAGAATATTTTACTTTGAACAGGATAGCATCCCAGTGGGCCCAGAATAATTCATTTCTTCAGCAAATATTTATCCTGCTTCTACTGGATGAGAGGTACCTGGGATATGAGACTAATTAGACACTGTTCCCTCTATAACTTAATGAGTTGACCTGTGAAAAGGTGTAATTTAGGGTACTATCTGCTGGGGCTGGCCCCCTGGCCGTGTGGTTAAGTTCGCACACTCTGCTTGGGTGGCTCAGGGTTTCGCTGGTTTGGATCCTGGGCACAGACCTAGCATCACTCATCAGGCCATGCTGAGGCGGCGTCCCACATAGCAGAGCCAGAAGGATCTACAACTAGAATCTACAACTATGTACCGGGGGCTTTGGGAAGAAGAGGAAGAAGAAGAAGAAGAAAGATTGGCAACAGATGTTAGCTCAGGTACCAATCTTTAAAAGGAAAGGACATGTCTGCCAAGAGCAATGATTTTGGTGGAGGACAACTGACATTGAGTTGCTCTTTCTGACAGCGATTGGTCTATATTGTTCTGCTCGGGCTGCCCTAACAGAATACCACAGACTGGCCGGCTTCAACAGCAGTGGGGCCAGATAAAAAGATGGGAAATGTGACGTTAGAGCTTCGGTATAGATAAATCCTACACATCGCTAAAAATACTAGAGACACATAGGCAGAGTCAACGTTGAAGAGCAAATCCTGTACACTTAACACCACAGTAATTCCACATGGGTCCTGGGGTCGGCAGAGGGGGGATGTGGCCTCCCCGCTTCCCTGCGTTTGTGTCACACGTCCAGGAAAATGGCTCTGCAAATCTGCTCTGGACGTCCTGCCAGCATGGACTCGACACTTTGTCGCTTTATGAATGGAGGGGCCAGTACCCTTCAAGTTAAGATGATTGTAGAGAGATTACAGAAAGTGACCTAGATTTTATTATTTCGTCACACAACAGAGTTTGGGATGGAATTGCGTGGTTTCTATGATGAAAGCATGAGTTTCATTTCATATTCCAGGGAGTTGCTGAAAAGACCCTCTGAGACGAACCCAGCTCTCTGGCAGAATGGGAGAGAAGAAGGGGCACTGTGTCCGAGTGTCTGCTCACAGGGAGGCAGATGGGCTTGCAGCGCCCCGGCCCAGCCACCTGGCTGCAGTCCCAGGTCCACCATGTTCTCAGGGCCCTTAGTTGGTCGCTGTCTCTCCGCCCCTGGACAAGGGACAATGGGAGCTGCTCCCGAGATGGGGTGAGCGCTGTTTTCCCTGGTGCAGAGGACGAACATGGCGCATGGTGACCTGGTGTTCACCGTGGTCGGCCATCGCCGCATCTACTACCTGGGCACAGACCCTGAATGTGAGCCCTGCTGGCTGCGGTGCTGGCCTGGCAGAGACAGTCGAGCCAGAGAGTTCCGGAACAATCGCCCCTCATAGTGGGGACAGCCACTCAAACAAAGGGCTCATTCATGACTCAAGAACAGCGAGCACCCACTTCTGCATCGTCCCAGGGTCTGCCGAGAAACACCGGGAGTCACGGAAGGGTCGACTGAAGAAAATCTAATGATAGAGCATCTCGAATAATCCCACAGTTATCATAAAGCACAGCATCTCAGGGAGCCGGGCTCGCGTGGGTGCCCAAGGCCCCACAGTCGAAGGCGCATGAAGAAGAAGGTGATTTCTTTTGCATGCTTTGCTCTCCGACTCCACGTAAGACGTGCCTCAAAGTCACGGGCACCGTTTCTGGGGACGCCTATCTGTGCTAGGAGCCTAGCAACTCCAGGGAGAAGTTATAGCCACTCTTCCAAAAACAATGGAATCTTGGCCAGAGTCTCAGAAAAATGCGTTTGAAATGCTATGCAGGCAGCAGCAGGTGAAGGGACCCCACACCGGTGGACTGGGAAAGGACAATTGGCTGTCCAGGGAAAATGGAACTCCGGTCTCGTCAGTAATAGCTCGCTGTGCGTTGTTTCTAAGTTACTTTGTTTGAGAATTGCCAATAGACCTCGTTAGGAAATAAATGCGGAGCTGAGTTACGAAGAGAAAGAGAATTTTTTTTTTTTTAAAGATTTTATTATTTCCTTTTTCTCCCCAAAGCCCCCCGGTACATAGTTGTATATTCTTCGTTGTGGGTTCTTCTAGTTGTGGCATGTGGGACGCTGCCTCAGCGTGGTCTGATGAGCAGTGCCATGTCCGCGCCCAGGATTTGAACCAACGAAACACTGGGCCGCCTGCAGCAGAGCACGTGAACTTAACCACTCGGCCACGGGGCCAGCCCCGAGAAAGAGAATTTTTGAGTTACATAAAGATCGACTGACTAAGAAATAGACTTGTGCTTTCTGAACACAAATGCGGCTGTTTCCAGCTGCACTCGAGACCGTGGAAAGGGCTGGAATTGGCCTGATTTCTTCGTTTTCTATTGTCACCCCATCCCTGAACTCAGCATGCACGCGCTTATTATCAGTGCCCTGAAGATTCGAATTTTGTCGTAAAACACAGATATCTATAAGGCTGTGCAAGACAACTGGAGGTGGCCCATTTGCCCCAGAATAAGTTGTTGGAATTCGTTTTATTTGAGGAAGATTAGCCCTGAGTTAACACCTGCTGCCAATCCTCCCCTTTTTTCTGAGGAAGACTGGCCCTGAGCTAACATCCGTGCCCATCTTCCTCTACTTTATATGTGGGACGCCTACCACGGCATGGCGTGCGAAGCGGTGCCATGTCCACACCCGGGATCCGAACTGGCGAACCCCAGGCCACTGAAGCAGAACGTTTGCAATTAACTGCCGTGCCACTGGGCTGGCTCTCGAATTTTTATTTTCAAGGGGAGAAGGGAGGACGTGAAGCATTAGAGGAAGTGATGGGTGGGTGGAAGAGCAGAACCCGGGGAGAGATGTGAATGGAAGGAATGGGTTAGCCAATGCCCTGTCACTTTCTGTCTGCCGGCCCTGCAGCAGCAGGAGGAGACAGCTGGGGAGCAGGGAGGGAGGGGGAAGGACCGATTTGTGTGGGCTTTGTAAAGTGCCCAAGGTGTCCCCTTTGTCCACCCTCCCAGGCCCCACCTTCCTGGGCAGTGTGCAGGCCAGCCCCTCTCCAAACTTCCCTCATCCTCGAGGTCCAACCAAACTCTCTGAAGCTTAAAACAGTTCTGATACTTGTCTATGGGAAACGCCTTCAGCGTTAGCTTTTAAGGAAACAAACCCAAATCAATATCGTTACATCGTTGTCCAAATATATATGTGGAATATTTCCGGACCCTATTTGTGGGAGAGGTATGGACAGAAGCAGCCCACACAGTTTGCGGGCGTCACGGCAGCCTCGCTGGTGTGAATGCCCCCCTGTACTTAGACTGTTTCACGTGGATTGGGTTTATTGAAATGTCCAGAGTCGCCTTTTCAGCTAGTAAAGCCGGCTATGTCTCAGAGCCATGTCTGTTCTGCGAGACACCAATTTCTTTAACTGAAATAGAACCATTAACATCCCCACATTGGATCACAGAGAATGAAAGCCTTGTCCCTTCAGCTGGGGCCGGAGAGCCTGCTATTGTTTCCAGAACATGACTGACTGATTCTGGTACAGCATGTTGATATTGTTGACTGGTCCAGCAAATCAAGAGATGGTGAATTCCAAGTGCTTGGTCTAGTGGGGCCCCTGCCTCTGCATGCACTCCAGTGATGGAGGGTGATGGAGGGTGGTGCTGCCAAGAGAAGCATCTAGATGTCCTTCAGGGGTACCGTCAGATTTGCTCTTGGATATCACTGAACTGTGAACAATCTGTTTATAGTGGGTTGTGTTGACACGGCACAGGTTTGTTTACCAGCCATGCTGGAAGGACCCAGAAGCTGTCTTGCATAATTTCTACAATCCCAGATACTTGACAGATGGAAAGAGAAAATTCCGCCATATGCAGCTGAACGTTGGGCATCACATAGTAGAATCATTTTCCGTTAAAGCTTTCCTTATGAGATTTTTAAAAACTATAAAATGACGCATGCTCCTTGTGACGGGAGATACCGGATGTGTAGAGGCAAAGTTGCGAGTCCCCGTTCCCTGCGCCCCAAGGCCTCAGTAGGTCGCCCAGATCAACCTGGAGTATGTTCCTCCTCCATTCGACCTCAGGTTTGCTACCATCCTCGCTGCTCGTGAGACTGTATTATGCATCTTGCAATTAAGACAAATGAAGTTATGTTTTTTAAAATAAAGTTTATTTGAAAAACATTCATCTGGTATTAGATAAAAGGCTCACCCATTTGCCCTGCAAAAGGCTTTGACGGTCACCAGTGGGAATCAAAGGAACCCCGGGCCCCAGTGGCTGTCACCAAGGACTTAGGCAAATGTGCTGGTGGTTGTCAAACTCTGACCACTGGGAGGACCCGCCCATGTCCTTCCGAGGACAAACTGTCAGGACAGCCTGCCCCGCGGTTGTGTTTTCCTGTGGCACCCAGAGTCATAGTGTCATGATGGGCGTGTCTTTGCTCTGTGGCCCTTTCTCTCCGCAAAGGAAGTCCCTCCACAGGCACAGAGAGACCCTGCCTCCCTCCCCATCCACACTTACGGGAGGGAGAGAGCATCACCCAGGCCAGAAGCACCTTCCTCTCTCGATGAGTCATCTCCTTCGTGGACAGAGGGGAAATGCAAAGTTATACCGTTACCATAACCACAAGTGCTGGACTTTCCAGGGATGTTCTGGTTTACTACGATTCTACCCCAATGTGAATTTCAATTTCACGTCGGGAGAAAGAGGTGGCCGTCACCCAGAGTTAGCAGTGTGCAGCCGGGGTGGGCATCCTCTGCTTTTCTTCCTGTCCTCGTTTCCTCTGCCAGCTGTAAGGATTCAAAAGCATCCCCTGCGTGTTCTTTGGAAGTAGCCTCTTACAGCTCATTGTTATTAAGTAAGGGACCATTTAGGGCACAGTAAACCCAAAGTGAGAAATTGATCGCCTTTATTCAGAATTCTCTATGCTTTTCGGCCAGATAATCATTTCTTAAAATAACGAAAACCACAGCAAAAAGTGAGCTCAGGGCAAGGTACTCATCTGTGCTCTCCAGTTTAAAGCCACCGGCAAAACGAACACCCGAGAAATCGTTAAATAAATACAAAAACCTCCCCCACGGCTGCCACAGGCTCCCTCTGACTCCTTAGGGGTCTGTTCTGTTTGTGTGTCAATTCTTGACTGCAGGACGTTACTCACGTGGTTTTTCCATTCTCAAAACACTTAGTATCTCATAAAAGCTTACAATCTTACAATCAAGTACAAATTCTATAATTTACAACAAAAGGAGACACTAGATCTCTAGTGACATTAATCAACCCCTCGTGGTTGTATAATATTAAAATTTGAAAAGTAAAAGATCAGTTTGGAGCAAAGAAAGGAAAGCTACTCATGGTCCCATGATCACTGTAATCTTCATTGAAAAGATTAATTTTCTGTTGTCTTGTCTTTTCTGGGTTTCTTCAAGCAGACAAAGAAAGAAGATTTAAACAAAAGTACTTTGTGCATTATGTGTTTGCAATTAGATATCAGCACAGATTTGAACTCGGCTGTAGTTCAGATTTAAATTGATACTTAATTCTAAGGATGAAATGGTTCTCATTGGCTCTTCCCTCATCTCCCCATTGATGTGCAGGACTGAAAGAGCTGGTCTAGACTCTTTCCTTCCCCTAATTCAGATTTGGGGTCCATTTGATCTTCTTCACTCCTGTAAACTCATTGACTCATACTTTTTACTCGTATTTAACTCGTATTTTAAAATGTTGATGGTCCGTGGAGATTTTAAAGGGAAGGAGGTAATCCAGGAGCATGTGCTGAGCGCCTGCTCAACCCAGGCCCCTGGCTCTGGCCCAGCCCCTGGCTGTCCCCTCATGGTGGACCCTGACTACTCAGCCCTCCTTTCAGATCATTGTCATCCCAGCTACTTCCTGCACAAACTCCAGACTTGCAGGCTGCTTGTGCTTGTGGTTGTGCTAATAGACACAGCAGTCACTGTCACACTTGAAAACTCAGTGTCACCTCCTTGCTGGAGCCACTGCACGCCCACAGTTACCCCCCTTCCTGTCCTACTGTCCCCTGACTTGGGCCATATCTGTCCTGAGGTGGAGCTATTTTTGCCCCTGTCTTCTCTCCTGTTAGATGCATCCTTCCTCATTGGAAACGGGTACTACAACCCCCGTGAGGTGCTCTCGTATTCTGCTTTCTCAGCACCGAGAGAAATCTACAGGCAGGTAGGACAACGAAACTCAGGCTTCAGAAGAATCGGGCATGAAATGGGGTTCTCAGGGTCACCCAGTTTTCTCCCCACTCGCTCCCGCGGTCCCTCTATCAGAGTTCCAAATGCGATGGCATTATCCACCACCTTTAGACTTCAGCACTCCAGTTTATACTTCACAACCTGCCTTGTTTACCCTTTGATTATCTTTTATATCCATCTTTACCTAAAGTATTAAGTAGCCAAATAAGATAGTGATCTGATGCTTTCTCAACATAGCAGCAAGGCAGCTGGTAACTCAAAAATCAATTCACTGGGAGCGTCGATAGCAACCAGAAATGGGCAAACAAACGCATGTCCTTTCTGCTAACAGGATCGCGGTGTAAGTCAAGGGCCATGGGTTCTGGGAAGGATGGGGGATTTTTAACTGTATTTCTTTGGTATCGGATCCTCCTAGTAATTAACACTAGGATTCGTATTGCATGGTTCTGGGGGGTTTAATCTGCAGCTTTGCTTGTATCTTGACAGCTTCTACCGTCTGCAGAGCGAGATAGCCTGTGTGGTTTTCCAGTTCGAGGAAGTGACTCTTTGAGGGTTGTTTGGGCAGAAGCCACACGCTACCACATCTGGGGCTGAGTCCAGTTGTTAATTAAAGACGAGCGACTTTCTAATCTTGGTTTTCACCACCCGTAAAAGCATTCAAATAGAGAAAACTAAATCTATATTTAGGTTTCTAGAAACAGAAGCCAACTCTGCTTCAACTTGAGCAAAAAAGAAAGTTCTGAGAAGGCTATGGGAGCTAAAAAGGATGGAAGGAAAAGCTGAGGAACCAGGTTTTGGGAAGGGTGGGACCAGAGCAGCCTTGGGGATCTGGGCTGTAGGCACTAATGGGGGAGTCTGTCAGGGTCTCGTGTTTCTGCCTGGGGGTCACTCCCTGCAGAACGCAGATTTTGGGGAGAGGGTGGTTGTAGTTTGACCTCATACATTGCGGGTGGAGAAATGAGGATGTGACCAGAGAAGTGTGGGGTGGATGCCACTGGCCGCTACAGCTCAGGAACACAGAGCACCTGTTCTGAGCTGGGCACCCTACGTGCATCGTACCACGCAGCCACCACAATCATTCACTTGCTAGATGCCGAGTGCGGACCAGTGCTGGTCTGAGGGCTCCGGATGCAGCACTGCGCACATCCTTGTGGGGCTTGTATCCTAGTGGTGGGAGACAATAAATAATGAGGAAAATGGTGAGGTATGTCAGAAGGTGATCTGCGCCATGGGAAAAAGAAAAAGCACATCAAGTACAGTGGGGCGGTGGCTGCCACTGCAGTTGGGCAGCTGGGTAGCTGTCACTGAGAAGATGAATCTGAGAAATACTTTAAGAAGCTGAGGGGGCCGGCCACTCAAACCCTGGGGGGCTAGTGGTCAGGCAGGGAGATCAGCTAAGTGGCGGGACTGAGCCACAAGGAAGCCTGAATGGTGAATGAGCAGGGAGCCCAGAGGGAGGTGACAGGCTTGGGCAGGTCATAGAGGGTCTTGCAGGGCCCCCCAGGAGCAGGGATGGGTAGTTTTAAGGAGGGTCGCCCAAGTCTCCAGAGCTACTAAGTGGTAGGGCTGAGAGGTAAACCTAAGGAATTCTATGCTTTGCTGCACAGCCCACCTTCCACACTCCCGAAGAAAGACCCAGACTTCTGTAAGCGTCACCGCACCTCGGGGGATTGTCCCCTATCTCTGTGAAGCCCTCCGAGGAGGGAAGAATGTAGCCAACACTACTGCTCATTTGTCAGCTAAGTTGCTGTTCTTTTTCAGTAGTAGCTTCAGGACATTTGAAATATTTTTTAAAAAGTAATTAAATAGCAGAAATAGAAAAGTAAGTTCATTTTTTATCAAGAGGAATTCTGAGGCTTTATCTCATGTTGGGCATCTGTTTTATCACCCCCATCGAGAGAAGTAACTAAAGATGATAAGTAACTGAGACTTCGATGCCCTCATAATCCTGCACCAGTTTTCTGAACGGAATGACGATTCTTCTGATTAATTATAATAGTACTTTTGGTTCCTGAGTAACAGTATTTAAAGCATTTTCTTATGCTTTGTCTCATTGTTCTACAAATGGAAATACCAGATTGAGGGGAAAAAAAGCTATTTCTTAGGAGGTGAGGGATTTGACAGTGATACAACACAAACAAAAGGAAGCAGGAGGATTCTGGGAAATGTTCCATGACATTCGGTACTTATGAAGGAAGTGCAGTCCTGCGCCACATAACGACGTCTCCGTCAACGACAGACCGCATATACAACAGAGATCCCATAAGGTTAGTACCACACGGCCTAGGTGTGTCACAGGCTGTGCTATCTAGGTTTGTGTAGGTACACTCTGTGATGTTTGTACAACGGCGAAACAGCCTAATGATGCATTTCTAAGAACATATCCTGGTGTTAAGCGATGCATGATTGTATCGGCTTAAAGGGATTGTTTCTTCTAAATATCAAAATAGAATGATAAGCTTTTGTCCCTTTTTAATAACTAGGTTTTTCCTGCTTGTAAAAATCCTAGGAGAATACAGAGAGGTTTAAATTAGAAAACAAAAATCATTCATGGTTCTACTATCTGGATATCACCTTGTTATCATCTTTGTGCATTTGCCTTTTCGTATCTATGCATAGATAAAGAGAGCTACGAAACGTTAACATGAGAATCCTCTCACGTTATTAAACATTTTCCTACCACAGGCTTTTATTGGCTGTGTAGCTTTCCCCTATCACCATCATTTTGAAAACAAATTTCCAAAACAAACATTTAGTTTGCCCTCCTTTTTTATGGACTTTATAAATACCACCCAAGTAAATAGCTGTGTCCTCCAATATTTAGGTTTCTATGAATTATAAAGGACACTTCAGTGAACAGCGATGTTCACGTGTCTTTATGTACTCTTCTGACTTTTCTTGGGGTGAACTTCTGGAAAAGGAAGCCGAGAGTCTGAATATCTTGAATTGTTCTTGGTGACTTTTCCTCCAGAAAATTTATACCAACGTACACTCCAGTGTGGTGTCTGAGAACGTCCTTTCCATTCACTCCTAAAAACATGTGGTATTATAATTTTTTGAAATGTTAATTTGGTAGGCAAAAGAAAAAGACTTCTTGTTGGATCTCTTTGATGAATGGTAAAGTTGAACTTTTTAATTTATTTTCATGTGTTGACTGTTAGTATTTCTTCTTTGATAAATTGTTTGCTTTCCTTGGATGTTTTTAAAAGTATTCTACACAGCATGTGAAATGTGACAATAATTGCTAATGTTTACGAAGTATGTAGAGTCCTCCAGACTTTGTCTCCAAGGACAGACTCTCTCCTTGACCGACCTTGAGTCAGCGGGGCTCCTCTGAGCCTCTTGTCGACTAGGCCTCATCCTTGGCCCTGCCCTTGGCCTGGCTTGTCCAGTTGGTGAAGGAATCCTGCTAAGTTGGTTTAGAGAGATTCGCCGCCCTGGATAGCTGATTGTCCTGGCCTGCCCTCAGCAAGAATCCCCGACTCTTGACCCCAATCTTCTATCCACTGACCCTCCACTCTGCTCCTGGCCCATCAACCCCCAGTGGTCTATGCTCTCTTTGGAATTGAGCCTGACCTCTCTCCCTGTTGTGAGAGGCTTGACACCTAATGCAATAGTCCTGAATAAACTCACTATTTTAACAAGCCCCAGAGTAATTTTTTCTTTAATGCTGCACACTGCCCATGTATAAACACTTTTAATTATCTTGAATCCTTGTGAGGTAGGCACCATTTTGCAGATGAGAGGACTGAGGCCCAGAAAGGCCATCAGCTTGCCCACTGTCACACAGCAGTCACTGTAGGGGCTGAGATTCAAACGTCAGCAGGTCTGCCACACGTACAGTTCTCAGGCTTTAAGGATGGAGGGGAGCGGGCTTGTAGTTTTATAATCAGTAAAGGAACTCCCTTACAAACTGGTTTTTTTTCTTCCTCTTAGATCGGCACCCTGTCCAGGCCCTGTCCCCTTAGGGCAAAGGGGATGAGGTTAGGAGTGACTTGTGGGCAGGGGTGGGGCGGGGAGGGGCTCCATCTCTCTTTCGTGTAACTGCTCACTTCCTGGTTGGAGTAAACAAGTTAAGTCCAGAAGCTTTAGTTGTGTTTCCTACCATGGGGACATGGGCCCCTACAGGAATGGGGGCTCACCCACAGACCCCCCATCCCAAGGATGTTCTAGTCTCCCTTGTCACTCTTCTGGTGTCAGGATCTGACCCGTGGAAGCCCCTGAAAGGATGGAATGATGTGATTGATTGAATAACAGACACAGAAAATGACTTCTATTTTGAGAGTTATTTAGCCTAATCAGGTCCTATCAGACTATATATTTAGTTTAATTGTAAGTATCCACACGTGCGTGCAGTTTTTAAAGATGGAAGTGCATATGGTGTTCCTGAGTGCCCATTAGTTTCCAGGCAACAAGAGAGGATGCAAAAACCCCAAGGAGCTTTCTCAATCTAAGCAGAGCAAGACAATTACATCGCGAGGACAAATCAGCAGTGAATTCCAGCATGAACCAGGCAGCTGTTGGATAGAACGGTAGACGAGGATAGGGGACGCTGAGCGCACGGACGCGCGTCGGTCGCCAGGCGCGGCTGGCTTGTGTTGTGACAACCGGCTGGAGACGCGGGACCGCGGTGAGTCCCGGGCCTGAACGTGCCCGGACTGGGGGGGCCCGCGTGGCCCCAGGGAGCCCCCGCCAGCTGGAGCCGCGCCCTGAGCGCGCAGTGCGCCAGTGGGCGCGCGGGGCACCGGGGAGGGCGGCAGGGACCCAGCGGGGAGAGTGAAGGCAGGGTTGGCGAGGAAGGCAAAAGACAGACTCTGCCTGAGACAGCTTGGGGCGAGGAGGAGCTGGGGAGAGTGGGGGGTGGACGACCAGACACTTCTGAGCGCTCACCTCCGGGTGAGGCCACCTGGGCACTCCCTGTGTTGGTCCAGGAAGGAGGGCTGGCCTGATTGTTTCTCTAGGGAATTAAAGGGAGATTAAAACCACGCCTGAAAATCCCGCAGCAGGCCTGAAAGTCCACTTTATTTAAAATAGCACTGGGGAAAAACAAACACTACATTGTTTGGGAGCTTTCGGATTCTGTTTTCGTTCCGCAAAAATAAATCTAGCAACTCTGGAGAGCAGATTTTTATACCCCTCCAACTCTCATGAAAAAGATTCAAGAAAGAAATGAAATATATTACGTTCTTAAATACTCTTGGCCATAATGTGGAGTTTTTTTGAGTCTTTAAAATGACTTTTAAATGGCAGCACCATTATGCGATTTTTTTCCTTCCCAGCTGAGTTAGCTCTTCTGTGCCCTGAGTGGTCTGTGTTCAACCCTGGCTGCCCTTGGATAGTTCAAAACAAAACAAAACAACAAAAAGCCAAGGTTTGCCCAGCGATTCAGGGTCTCCATTCAGAGTCTGGGGGGTGCCTCGGCATCAGGCTCAAACTCCCTGGGTGATTCTAATGTGGGGCCGGTGCTGGGACCCACTGACTAAAACTTGACTTCCTACACCCCTGCCTCATGGAGTCATCTAAATAGATCGAGCACATCAATAATTTAAAACCCATTCGTACATGTGTCTTCCCAATCATCGTTCACAGTGGGGAGACCTTGGAATCGAAGGTCCCATGAGATCTCCACATCCCCAGGTAATGGGGGGGATAGAAGGAGTTCCAGAGAAATTTCAGTCCCCAGTCTGAAAATCTGAGCAAGTGGCTTTCAGTAATATTGAAACTACTCCAAGACCGTGGGGAAAAAACTCCCACATTTTACTGAACAAATAGAGCCACTTCACCTCCGGTTGGTTTAGGGTACAGATGGATGAGCCCCTTAGAGTTGGGAGCCAGAGGGTCCCAAGATGTTGACTTGAACTCCTGCCTCAGGCAGGTAAGGTCTTTCCAATTCCATTTACAAGTTAGGTCACTGAAATCTGAAAGGGGGCAGAGCATTTGCTAACAGAGCGCCAGAGAGTTAACAGACGTTGGAATCCAGCGCACCTGGGCAGAATCCTTGATCTTCCATTTCTTAGCCATGTGAGCTTGGAATTAAGTGCTCAAAGCCACACAGTTAATGGAAGATCATGGTAGCCACTGACATCGGGGCCTCCTGGCCTCCAGTGTCTTTTCATCATCCAGGAGGCCCCCACCGTAGATGGAACTCCAGCTTTGGCCGGTTGGCTTCATTCTGCTCCACGGCCACAGGCCTTGTTCTGTGACCACTGAGGGAGCAACAGAGGCTTGAGGTGGCTCCCCAAATCCTCCTCCACTGCTGGGAAACCACCTGAGAAAACTTCGAGGGTCCTTTCCATTCTAAAGTGCTTTCCTCATGGACCAGACCATCTCTTTCTTCATCATGAAAGGAAAACACACTATTGTTAACTGTTTTCCCGGCTGTACAGAAAAGGAGTCAGCAATCAAATACATTTTCAACTTTGGACTTTCCGACCACCCTGACCTCTGCGCCTGGAAGACTGTCCATGAATGAACCATGTCTTTAGAGAAAAAGTCACTTGCTGTTTTTCATCCTCCCATTTGTCTTCATCCCAACATGGATCGTTGGGTGGTAAAGTCCGCTTCTAATCTGGGGTGTGTAGAGTGGCTGTATATTCCTCCGGTGTGAGACACTTTGGAGAGGTGGTCCTCAGCAGAAATGGACCTTGATTTGGCCCTCTGTCTTCACAACAGGTGGTGGAGCCTCTTCTAGAACATGGCAGCCGGCCTTCACACTCACCGAAACCACACACTTCCTTCTCTCCTGAGTGGTTACCCACCGAGTAGCTCCCATGAACAGGTACCATTTTGGATAACTGGTAACAGAGGAAATGACTCCATTCCAATTATAGAAATGTAACGGTTCCTATCTTTCTTTCCCCTTCATTTATTTGGAACTATTTTCATATGGCAGGTCTCTAATAAGGTCAGATTTGGGATGGGAAAAAGTGTGTGGAAATCCAGGTCACAAACCAGGAGTCATTGAGAACAGAGCCCCATCAGCCTTGGAGGGCTGGCTTGGTGAGGGGTGGGGGTGGGGGGTGGTGGGCGGGATGTGGCATTTTTTTGTTGTTTATTATTTTTTTAATTGAGGTCACATTGGTTTATAACATTATATAACTTTCAGGTGTACATCATATTTCAGTTTCTGTGTAGATTACATCATGCTCACCACCCAAAGACTAATGACAATCCATCACCACACACATGTGCCTGATCACTCCTTTCACCCTCCTCCCTCCCCCTTCTCCTCTGGAAACCACCAATCCAAACTCTGTTGCTACGTGTGTGTTTGTTGTCCATTTTATCTTCTACTTATGAGTGAGATCATATGGTATTTGACTTTCTCTCTCTGACTTATTTCGCTTAGCGTAATACCCTCAAGGTCCATCCATGTTGTCACAAATGGCCAGATTTCATTGTTTCTTATGGCTGAATAGTATTCCATTGTGTCTATATACCACGTCTTTCATTTACAAGTTAGGTCATTGAAATCTGAAGGGGGGCAGAGCATTCGCTAACAGAGCTAATGGAAATGCAACTGATTTCTTAGGTTGATTTTGTTTCCTGAAACTTGACCGTATTCATTTATTGTTTCTAAAAGTTTTTTGGTGGAGTCTTTAGGGTTTTCCATATATAAAATCACATCATCTGCGAATAGTGACAGTTTCACTTCTCCCTTTCCAATTTGGATCTCTTTTATTTATTTTTCTTGCCTGATTGCTCTGGTTAGGACTTCCAATACTATGTTAAGTAAGAGTGGTGAAAGTGGGCATCCTTGTCTGATTCCTGTTCTTAGGGGAGGATGTGTCATCTGGTGAGAGACCGAGGACTCCACGATGCAGCTGATGGTCTCTGCTGTTGGTCCTAATGAGATAAAATATTAATATTTATTTTAATACACTATAAATTGTTACTCGTAATGTGTGATATTTTCTGTGCTTGTAAAATATTGACTTAATTACACGGTCCCCCTGAATATCCTGGGAAAACTGAGCAGTCCAAAGGTCTGCGGAAGCTAGGTGACTGCCCTCAAAGCTGGTGATAAACCTCCAAGGGGGGTTGCAGAAGTCCTGTGAGAAGGAAAGATGGCGTGGCATGGAGGTGGTGTGTGAGTCAGGAGAGTGGGCAGTAGAGAAAAAGAGCGTCTTCAAGTTGTATTTGACATTATGAATTCTGGAACTGGTCCTTGTCAGAAGATGGGGGCCCTAGTGACCTGAGTGTCACTGACCCCATGAACTTGGGTTGGTCAGTTTTGTCATCTTTGAAGAGACTAGATGATCCCAAAGCCCCTTTCGGTCCTAATGCATTTACTGCTTCTCCCCACCTGTGCCGCTATTCCCACCCTGTCCCGGGGCTCCATCCCTTACAGAGGTCCTGGTCGCTCCGTAGGACGTGGGACTGACATGGCCCGTCCCTGAGTCAGTGGCCTCTTCCTCTGAAATGTTTGTATGTAACTATGTGCAAACCCACAGGCTCTGTGCGGTCACTGGTCAGGCAAGTGGGTCACTGGTCACAGCTTGGCGTGTGGAGTGGGAAAGTTCAAAGTTTTGACCGAGGCCCCTAGAGAAGGTAGAAATCCCATTCTGGACGAGGAAACTTCCTGAGAGGATGGCTGGACCATCTCAAGGATCTGGATCCTGACCTAGGACGAAGGTCTAAGGGTCAGTTAGTTGGTGGTTTGGGGATTCATTTGGAGAAGGTCGTTGGGGTCTGTGAGCCCTTGTGGTGGGAGCAGGTGGGAGCATTTCCTTCTGATCATAGGTTTGGTGAGGGGGCTTCCCGAGCTCCTCTGGGTTCTTCAACACACATCTTCTGGAAAGACAAATGGCACCGTGTTGTTTGGCTGGACCATTCTGTTTTCCCCGGTTTTAGGTTACGATGCATCCTCTTTACTTTCCTTCGCAGTAATGACATTTATTCAACAAATATTTATTGAGTTCTTTCTAGTGCCAGACACACTGAGTCACAAGGGCTGTGCCAGTTAGATGCCTGGCTACAAACAGTAGAGACTAATTCTGAACAACTCAGGGGGAAGAAAAGGAATTGATTGGAAGAATATTAAGTAGCTCATGGAGCTGATGAGGCATCTAGAGAGCATGGCGCGGAAAAGTGAGCAGGAACAAGGAGACTAGGCATGTTGCCAACAGGGAGAGGTACCCAAGGCTACCACCATCCCGGGTCCTCTGGGCTGCAGGGTGCCCGACTCCAGCGCAGCCAACCACAGCTCAGAGTCGCCCCCTCAGGAATCATATTCCAAGCAGAAGCTTTTGACTGGGCAAGGGCTCCAGGCCAGGGCGCCTCGCGGCACTGACATTTTAGACCGGAGAATTCTTCGCTGTGGCGCGGTGGGTGGGGGCTGTGCTGTGCATCCTGGGATGTTCAGTAGCATCCCTGGGCCTCTACCCGCCGGATGCCATTAGCACGCCCTCCTCCCAGTGATGACAACCAAAAATCAAAAACATCTCCAGGTTTCTTGAAGGGCCCCTTTCCCCTCCAGAATACCCCGCTCCCCCCAGCCCTGCGTCTAAAGCACCTGGGGTTTTGTTAAAGTGTAGACTCCTGAGCCCCCCCCCCCCCCCCACCCACCCCGAGAGCTGCTGAAGCAGAAACCCTGGGATGTGAGGCTGGACTCTGTGTCTCAAACAATCCTCCCGGATGCTTTTATATACATTAGATTGAGTGCCAGGAAATGGGAAGAGATGGAAAGATTTGTAGGTGGGGTGGGGGATGGTGATTAGATTTACCTTTTAGAAAAATCGCTCTGGCAGGCAGAGGGAGAGAAAACAGGAGAATTTAGATAAAGCCGGGTTAGAGAGGATGAGGGCTGAGATCAAGAACAGTGGTGGATGTGGAATCAAGGGACTGAATTTGAAAGCTATTTGCAGATAGACTTCGGAAGACTCTGCGACTGATTATGGATGTAGGGGAAGTGTCAGAGCGCTCCTCGTTTTCTGACTTGGAGGATGGTGTGACGTTGCTCAGGGTAAGGAATGTCAGGGGGTGAATCTCGGGGGAAGAGAATGAGCTCAGATTCAGACATCTGGGATTTCAGAGGCTGACGGGACCTCCCGATGGATCTGAGTGTGGAGTCGAGAGAGAGGTCGGAGGGCAGATGGGGCGTGGAGCCATCGGCATCCTGGTGGTGGCTACAGAAGAAGGAGTGGCTGAGATCCCTAAGGAAGACGTAGGTGAGGACCACAAAGGGCAAAATAGAGCCCTGACAAACTAACTTGAAAGAAGTAGGCAAGTGGGAGGATCCACCAAAGACGAGGTGAGCAGACATCAACATAGGAGGAGAACAGGAGACTGACCACCGACGCGGAGAGACGAGGGCGATGAAGCAGGCAGTGGGAGTTGACCCCAGTGTCGGATGCCATGACGAGGCCCACTAGGATAAGGGCTGGTGGGTGTCACGCTCTGCGGGCAATCAGTAGCCTTTGCAAGAGTGGGATCGGTAGAGTTGTGAGAGTAGAAATCAGATCATGGTGGCAATAAATAAATTTATTAAATAAATAAATCAGATCACGGAAGCAAGATGGTGGAGAAGGTGGCTGTAAAGCTAGAGGAAATGAGACAGTTGACGGTGGTGAGAGGGGCCTCTAGAGGCAAAGGAGGCTTTTCTTTGTTTTATAGCTTTTGCGAGGTGTCCTGGACACACAAGGAGCCACACATTCATAAACCCATATGCTTTGATAAGTTTTGACGTATGTATACACCTGTGCAACCATCACCACATTCAAAACAGTGGACATATCCATTGTCCCTAAAATTTCCTGTGTCTCTTTAGAAATCCTTCCCCCTGCCCCTGTGGGTCCCCTCCCCTCATCGTCCCAAAGCAAATACTGATTAGCTTTTTGTCACGATGGATTAGCTTGCATTTTCTAGAATTCTAGACAAGTGGAATTTTCCATTGTACACTCTTTTTTTGTTTATTATTTTTTTTTCCTCTCAGAGAATCAGTCTTCTTGCAGGGTATAGTATGTATCAATAGCATATCCCTTTTCATTGCTGAGTAGTATTCCATCGTGTGGCTATACCATGGTTTGATTATCCATTTGCCTCTTGATGGACTTTCCGGTTGTTTCCTGTGTTTGGCTGTTACACATGAGGCTGCTGTAAACATTCGTGTACTCCTCTGTGTATGCACATATAATTTCTCTTGGGTAGATACCTAAGAGTGGAAAGGGGGGGGTCATATGGTAGATGTATATTTAACTTTTTAAGAAACTGTCAAACTAGAGGCCAGCCACGTGGCATAGTGGTTAAGTGTGTGCACTCTGCTTTGGCAGCCCAAGATTCACAGGTTCAGATCCTGGGCATGGACCTAGCACCGCTTATCAAGCCATGCTGAGGTGGCGTCCCACACAAAGTAGAGGAAGATTGGCACAGATGTTTGCTCAGGGCCAATCTTCCTCACACACAAAAAAGAAGAAACTATGAAACTGGTTTCCAAAGTAGTTGCACCGTCTTAGTTGTCACATGTCCTGGCCAACACTTGGTGTCATCACATTTGAATTTTAGCTACTCTCCTAGATCTGTGGCAAAATCTGGTTATGGTTTTGATCATTGCTCCCCTGATGACTGATACTGTGAGCATCATCTCTATGTGCCATCCTTGTATCTTCTCTGGGGGAGTGTCTGCTCAAATCTTTTGCCCATTTTTAAAATTGGTTGTTTTCTGATTACTAGCCTCATTCTAGTCTTAAAGGATCCTTTGAACTCACTGAAAAGGGATTAAATATTTGATGAAAAAAATATAATGCGTGTAGAGAACACTGGGCTTACACAGAGATGGTC